GGGGGTTGAAGAGGCTGAGAAAAATGCGTTTCCATGGATTTCACCCTGCAAGAAAACTGTGAGAAAAGTCATATCCATAAAGGATGTCATCGTCATCATCATCCTCAGCGTCGTCATCGTTATTGCCCCGAAATCTCCCTGAAGACCATGTTCAGCATTGGAAATCTCATCGCATATCCCAGCTAACCCCTTACTGGGTAAGCAGAGCATGTGTTTGCTCTACAAATTATTGAAATTCACACGCGCCTTAGTGGTTTCTATCCTTTTTGCCCAAAATTGTGTTCGGACCAAGGGCTTGTTGCTCATAGATTTGTATCTGTGGCCAGCCACTACCACTGCCAGTGCTAAAAATGTAATCACCCTGAAAATACCCACAACAAGATTCGAATGCAACCTGCTGACTGCCATAGCAACAACACCAACGTTAATGAAGAGTTGATGTGATGTGGCCACGTGACTAGCTCTCCCAAAACGAAGAGCAGTTCAAGGATGAGTAATGTTAGTCTACACTTGTCAATTTGCTGCTACTGTTGTTGTTGATGTCAGTCTGGTAATTTGCAAGTGTTATTTGTTTTGTTGTTGTTTTTTCTGGTTCCTGCTTCCTTTTTGGTGGCATTTATTATTTATTAGCAGCCCTTAAATGAAGTAGCAACAAATCACCACCAGCCTGCCACCCATGGTTAAATGTTGGTGCTTTGCCGGCACTTGATATTTTGTCGGGCACTCATTTACCCAACCCCCTCCCTCTCTTACTCACTCTCTTCAACAAAAGAGATACAAAAATGATTTTGTTTTTCTTTCATGTGTTCTTTGGCTTGTTTTACTAGGATTGTACCAAATTTTCCCCCTTCCCTTCCCTCCCCTCCCTTTTACCCAGCCTCGTCATATTTGTTTGTAAGTACAACTGCTGATGATTATTTTCTTGTTTGTCTCCGTAAACACCCCTTGCTACCATGGTTTTGTGTTAATATTTACAAATGTAATTTGTTTTTTGTTATTACTTTCCGTTTGAGATACTTGTTTATCCTTGCCGTTGTGGAAAAGGATGGGAACATGTTTTGGCTTTTTATTCATTTATCATTAATCGGGTTAAATAGATTTTAATAGTTATTAATGAACCTGGGAAGTATTTGTTATTAGTTGTTATTTGTAAGGCAATACTTCGTGTCAAAATGTGAAGCATACTTTCAGGGGTAGTGAAAACCTTTAATGGCAAATAAAGTAAAAATTAAAAAAAAAACAGTAAATAAAGTCTTAAAGTCGGACAGGGCCGACTTTATGATACCCTACACCACTTTGCTAATTTAGTAGATCTCCGCATAAAAATTAAAAGTCTTTATGGGAGAATTCAGTCATAGACGCCATGATTATAATTATAATTTAAAACTCAAAGGACTAAATATGCCGAAGCATTTGTATCTTTTAAATTCGGACTTGTATTGCCCATTTGGTGCACAATTAATTTGAAATCGGATACAGATATATATGGGAGTTATATCCAACTTGGAACCGATCTTGATAAAATTTGGCAAATATATTTCTGAGCTGTATTTGATATATTTCCCTGAATATCGTTGTTAAGGAGTGCAAACTACGGCTGTGGGTAACAAATATAACAAATCGGATGAACAATATATATGGGAGCTATAGCTATATCTGACCGATCTTTACCAAATTTGGCATACTAGCTTCTAGACTCAATTCGTTCGTAAGTGCCATCCAATTTCATCCAATTTGGGCAAATATTAGACGTTTGGTGCACAATCGAAGGTAAATCGGACGAAGTTATATATGGAAGCTATATCCAAATCTGAATCGATCTCGATAACATTTTGCAAAGGTATTTCTGAGATGTATTTGGTATATTTTCCCAAATATTGTTGTTACAGAGTGCATATTACAGCTGCGAAGGACAAAAATAACAAATCGGATGAATAATATATATGGGAGCTATAGCTATATCTGAACCGATTTCGATTAAATTTGGCATGCTTATTTTTAGGTTTAATCTGGATCTATATGCAAAATTCCATACCATTCGGACTGATATTACACGTTTGGTGCACAGTAAAAGGCAAATCGGACGAAGATATATATGGAAGCTATATGTAAATTTTTACCGATTATCTCCAATTTCAATATGGTTCGTCCTTGGGCCAAACAAATAATTTGTGCAAAATTTCATCTGGTTCGGGAAATAAATGCAAACTGTACTTTGTTCACAAAAATACATGGACAGTGGAACGGACAGACGGACGGATGGACATGCATAAATCGACACGGAATGTGATTCTATGCAGATCATCAAAAGGAACTATGGGTCTATCTTGTTTCCTTTTGCCTGTTACAAACAAATGCACAAAGACATAATACCCTGACCACCTTGTGGTGTAGGGTATAAAAAAGCTGTAAGTTCGGCCGGGCCGAACTTTGAATTCCCTCCACCATTTGGTACAAATTTGGCAATTTTCAAAAAAATAAAATCCGTTAAAAATTCTGTTAAAATCTTCAAAATACAGAATGTAGCCATATATTAGGGTCTATACGATGACGTGGACCTGTATACGCAACTTTTGTCATAAGCCTGCACAGACAATTTTCTGGCAAAGGCTGTAGTATCCATTACGAACTTCAAATACAAAATTTGTAATAATTCTGGTGAATAATGACGCTTAAATCATCAAAATACCGAATATCGGGAGGTACCTTTATATGGGGGCTATACGAAGACGTAGACCGGCACGGACAATTTTCTGTCTTAGGCTGTAGTATCTATTACGAATTTCAAATACCAAATTTAAAACAATTCCGGTGAATAATGTCGCAAAAATCATCAAAATACTGAATACAGGGAGGTACCGTTATAGGGGAGCTATACGAAGACGTGGACCTACATGCTCCATTTTCAATACCAAAAATCCTGCGGACATAATATACATTTTAGTAAAATTTTACCATCTACTTCAATTCGTTCGGAAGCTAGTGTGATTTCCACAGAAGGACAGACGGACGGACATCGACATAGAATTTTATGCTGATCAAGACTATACAGGGTTGCGCCCATATTTGACGAACCTTTGGACCCTTTGGGCCCATTTCCAGTCGACGAGGCTTGTCCGCAGGCAACATTCTTTGCGTCAATTGAATTTTGCGTCCGTTGTAAAGTGGACCGAGCCATGCCCAACTGCTGAGAACGGCGTTTTTAGGATGTTGTTGGGGACCTCTCAACACTGGCTCGTACGGCAGCGATATTCTCGGCCGATCGCCTTGGTCGACTTTTATATGGCCTTTTCGGATTAGAAAGAGCCTTACCAGTCGAAAATTTTTCATATAAACGCTTAATGGTGTTCTTAGAAGGCGCACTTCTCACATTTTTTAATGTTTTAAAAGCACGTTGAGTTTTCACAATAGACTTCTTGTAAATTTCAACTATTTCAGAGCGCTCGCGTGGCGTGTATTGGTTCATGGTAAAAATTTGCTTGGACTGACGCTTCAAACGCGTTATGTCATTAAGCGATGTGACATCTCTGTCAAAAGTTATGGCGTTGCCAGATGGGTCCGTCGAATATGGGCAACAAAGGGCCAATATTTTGAATATTTATAACTCTTATAAAATGTGATGTAGCGTAGCCCGACGTCAAGGAAGTGGATGGAAGAAAGCATCGACATCAGCAGAAATGGTTCGAAAAGTAAAGAAGCGACTTGATCAAAACCCGCGTCACAGTGGCCGAAAAATGGCTCGTGAGCTGAACATATCGCAATATTCCATTCCATTCGGAAAATATTGAAAAATGAGTTTGGGGTAAAACCATTCAAATTCCAAAAAGTGAAAGAACTTCAACCGCAAGAGAGAGAAAATAGATTAAAAAAGAGCTTAAGAGTTGCTTCGCTTGGCCGAAAGTGGTGAACTGCCGAATTTGGTTTTCTCCGATGCCGATGAGAAAACATTCGTTGTCCAGAAGTTTTTAAACGAACAAAATGATCGTGTTTATTTGCCAAAGAGGTCAGCTGAAAATGTGCACCTTCGGTTGGCCAAGCGCCGGCCATGGCGCCCATGGTGTGGACCGCCAAAACAGCCGATGGTCGCTTTCCGCTCGTATTAATCGACCGTGGCATCAGAATAAATACCGAATATTATCGCGAAAATATTCTGGAGGGTGTATTAAAGCCTTGAGGACGCAAACATTTTGGCGCAGAACTTGGACATTCCAACAGGTCTCAGCACCAAACGCACTCAGCACGCTTCCCCCAAGAATGATTACAAAATGAGGTTCTTGGCTTCATTTCCAGCACAGAATGGCCACCAAAATCTCCGGATACCAATCCGTTGGACTATTGTATCTCGAGTATTTTGGAAAGCAAGGTTGGCACTAAAAAATATCAAAGTTTATCCAAAGAAATTCTCTGGCCCTCAGCTCTGTTTTGGAGTCTCGCTGGGTCTCAGCTTTTTTATGGAGTCACTCTGGCCTCCCCTGTCCTTCGGCTCGTCAGTAAATATTCCTCTTCCTCCTGGCTTGCCTTTGAAGACTTGTTTCGCCACCGACCATTCCAAAAAGTGGACAAATATGTCTCATTTTCAATACCAATCAAATTTTGAAGCTCTTAGTCGAATAATGTGGGCTGTATCGTGATTTTAACAGATAGACAGACGGACAACGTCGGCATAGAATTTTATGCTGATCATTAATGTATTTACTCTACGACGGATATTTAGGGATGCCACAAACGGAATGATAAACTTAATATTCCCTCCTTTTCAAGGTGTAGGGTATAATTAACAGAAATTAGAAAAAAGAATAGCTTCAAAAAGTCTTCAAAGAAGCATAAAAAGGGTTTTATAAGGCGAACGCCGTTTAAAGTTCATTGCAGATCGAAGGGAAATCGCAGCTTTTTTTTCGTAGAAAAAAATATTTTTAAAGGACTTTTTTGATAAAATTTAATGAATTTTCAAGGACTTCATCAAAAAAAAAAAAAAAAAAAAAAGAAATAAATAAATAAAATAAAATAAAAAAACTTGTAGAACTTTTTTTAGGTTTTCCTTGCCAAAAATCTTGGACATTTTTTTAAATATATTTCAAGGACTTCCCAGCTTGATGATCCTTTTAAAAATCCTCCTTCTTGTGGTCCCTGAAAAGTTAGTCATAAAAAATGCACTTTTTTAGTTGTTTTTGTTTTAGTTGCACTTACCTCCACACGCATCCACCTATCGCTGTTTCGAAGTTTATTTTCAGTACCTAAGAGTTATCTTATCAAATTTATCTTCTACCAATTTAAAATGTGTAAATTATTTTAGAAATTAATAGAAATTTTGTTGACAATTTTGAAACATTATCAAAATTATCAAAATATATTATTGCCAATTGACTATAAATATTAAACTGAATTGGGCAATCAGTATCAGTTCCTTTGCTCATATCGAATCGGCAACTAACTTTCAATCACTGAAAATGAAATTCGGTAAGTTATTTGGAAGTCAGACAACGGAAATTTGACGAAAACAAAGTTCAAGGTTAAGAGGAGGAAAGAAATGGAAGTGCTGAGGTTTAGCCCTTCAGTTTCCCCTTGACTGCACAAATTCGAAATTTGCTCTCCTCGAAGCTAACTTGCTTTCGTGTTCTCTTATTGACTTGTATCCGTTTTTTTGCCCTCTCTTCTAGTCTTCTGCTTTGCTCTCTTGGCTTGCCTCATTGCCTGTGGCATGTGCTGTGACGCCGATAGCAACAACATGCCCTCTTGCAACACCAAAAACGTGAATGTACCCGTTCGCAATTTCTGGGATCCTACCGGCTACTGGGAGTGCAAATCTGCCACTGGCACCGCTGAAATGATCCACTGTCCCGATGCCCAATTGTTCGATGAAGCCAAGGGTCAATGCGTTGCCTGGAATGAATGGACCTGGACCAATCCTTGCCCTGCCAACAACTAAATGATGATGTTCTAGACTGATCAAAATCATATTTAAAAAATAAAAAAAGACTTATTAAAAAAAAAAAAAAAAAAAACAAGTAAAACAGATGTAAGTTCGGCTGGGGCTATACGAAGACGTGGACCTGCACAGGCAATTTTCTGTCTTAGGCTGTATTATCTTCAAACACCAAATTTGAAACAATTCTGGTAAAAAATGTGGCTAAAATCATCAAAATAGCTAAAATCATCGAATGGACCTGCACAGACAATTCTCTATCTTAGGCTGTATTATCCACTATGAACTTCAAACGACAAATTTGAAATAATTCCGGTTAATCATGTCGCTAAAATCATCAAAATACCGAATATCGGAGGTACCGCTAAATGGGGGCTATACGAAGATGTGGACCTGCACATACAATTTTCTGTCTTAGGTTGTAGTATCCATTGCGAACTTTAAATACGAAGTTTGAAATATTTCCAGTGAATTATGTCACTAAAATCATGAAAATACCGAATATCGGGAGGTAACGTCATATGAGGGCTATACGAAGATGTGATCCTGCACAGACAATTTTCTGCCCTAGGCTGTAGTATCCATTACGAACTTCAAATACCAAATTTGGAACGATTCCGTTAAATAATGTCGCTAAAATCATCAAAATACCGAATATCGGGAGTTACCCTTATATGGCGGCTCTACGAAGACGTGGACCTGCACAGACAATTCTTTGTTTTAGGCTGTAGTATCAATTACGAACTTCAAATACCAAATTTGAAACAATTCCGGTGAATAACGTCGCTAAAATCATGAAAATACCGAAAATCGGGAGGTACCGTTATATGGGGGCTATATGAAGACGTGGACCTGTATAGACAATTTTCTGTCATAGGCATTAGTATCCGTTACGAACTTCAAATACCAAATTTGAAACAATTCCGGTGAATAATGTGGCTAAAATCAGCAAAATACAGAAAATTGGGAGGTACCATTATATGGGGGCTATACCAAAACGTGGACCCACATTTTCATTTCCAAAAGTCCTGCAGACATAATATACATATGTGCAAAATTTTATCAACCTAGTTAATTTCGTTCGGAAGCTAGAGTGATTTCCACAGACCCTTTGGTGGAGGGTATAAAAAGCTTTGGCTCAGCCGAATTTAAAATTGTTTATTTTTAGAACACCTTCCGTAGATATTCTTTGCTGAGAAGACCTTCTACACGTCCTTTTCACTTAATTCATTCCCCACGAAATTAATTCGAAAATCCAAATTACCACTTAAGTCATAATTTAATTAAAATTCAAATCTCCTCTTCTGCCTTTTTCCATTCACCTTTGAAATCCATTCACAAAAATTTCCAATTAATAATTCTATTCAAATGTCCAATTTGTGTTTTGTTTATCTCCGTGTCCATGTTGTCGTAGCTTTGTTTTTTTTTTGGTCTTTCGCGCAATATTGAATATTTATCCTGGTATTGAAAATGACAAAAAAAAAGAACTGTCTTTGGTTTGGGAAGTTGTGTGTCTCGGCGATGATCAAAGGACCAATGCTCACAAAGACAAAACAGAAAAAAATACTCCATTCTATATCAATAAAATTCTGTTCATATTTTGTACACCACCTACGCCGCCGCCGCCGCCAGATAATCCTTCACGTAGCCTGGGAGAAATGCAACAACAACAACAGCGACACCGACAAGAAACGGTAACTGCACTTCAATGCCATTTAAATTGAAAATTTTTTCCATATCTCTGGGTTTTAACTACCAATTCAAAACGTACGCAAGGCATGCCATCATGTCAATGCAAATTCATGTGCCATTGCAGGCAGCGCAACAGCAGCAGCAACAACTAAAACAAAAGAAACAACCAGGATAATTCCATCAATTCATATGGCGGAGCAGTTCACAGCCAAAAAGGAGTGATGAATAGGGTGACAGTATTGACGACGGCGATTGGAATTGAGTTGATTAAATTTTTAAAACATATTTTCCATCGCCAACTACCCAGCAAAAGAAGTCATTACCGAATAATGTTACCAGGAATAACTTACGAAACTTTACCCTAACTCTTTACTTTAACATGAACATGTCATTGAAGTTATTCCCAGAACTAGATTAGCGATGGGAAAATATCTCAAATAAAAATCCTACAAATTTTATTTGTGTAATTATTTCTATGCGTCTCGCGTTTGAGAAAAATTAAAATTCTTCTTTTTCGGAATATGCGACATTGCCATGTCTAAATAACGCCGTTCATATTCGTCTCCAACTTTGAACTGTTGCAATCAAGCAGAATACACGCATTTCAAAATACCTCATACGAATGTGAGAAAAAAATGTCAATATGACTGCAGGCGAAATAAAATATGCCTGCCAATGCCAGACATTCCATTTGCACTTGAAGATATGGCTTAAAAGAAAATATCGACGACAATTTTTTCAAAAAAAAAAAAAAAAACACAGTAAAAAAGTCTTAAAGTCGGGCGGTGCCGACTCTATGATACCCTACACCACTTTGCTAATTTAGTAGAGCTCCACATAACTATTAAAAGTTTTTATGGGAGAATTCAATCATACACGCTATGACTACAATTGTAATTTTCAAAGGACTAAATATGCCGAAGCATTTGTATCTTTTAAATTCGGACATGTGTTGCCCATTTGGTGCACAAATAATTTAAAATCGGATAAAAATATATATGGGAGCTATATCCAAATCTGAACCGATCTCGATAAAATTTGGCAAAGATATTTCTGAGCTGTATTTGATATATTTCCCTGAATATCGTTGTTACGGAGTGCATGTTACGGCTGTGGGTAACAAATACAACAAATCGGATGAACAATATATATGGGAGCTATAGCTATATCTGAACCGATTTTCACCAAATTTGACACACTAGCTTCGAGACCCAATTCGGTCGTAAGTGCCAAGTTCCATCCCATTTAGACAAATATTAGAAGTTTGGTGCACAATCAAAGGTAAATCGGACGAAGTTATATATGGAAGCTATATCCAAATCTGAACCGATCTCGATAAAATTTAGCAAATGTATTTCTGAGCTGTATTTGATATATTTCCCCAAATATTGTTGTTGCAGAGTGCATATTACGGCGGCGGTGGACGAAAATAACAAATCGGATGAACAATATATATGGGAGCTATAGCTATATCTGAACCGATTTCGATCAAATTTAGCATACATATTTTTAGGCCTAATTTGGGTGTATATGCAAAATTCCATGCTATTCGAGCTGGTGTACAATAAAAGGCAAATCGGACGAAGATATATATATGGGAGCTATATCTAAATTTTGACCAATTATCTCCAATATCAATAGGGTCCTTGGGCCAAGCAAATAATCTGTGCAAATTTTCATCTGGATCGGGCAATAAATGCTACCTGCATTTTGTTCACAAGAATACATGGACAGACGGACGGACGGAAGGACAAACGGACTGACATGCATAAATCAACTCAGAAAGTGATTCTATGCAGATCATCAAAAGGAACTATGGGTCTATCTCGTTTCCTTTTGCCTGTTACAAACAAATGCACAAAGACATAATATAAATATTGGTATGTTAAACATTTGAAGGCAATACCAAAAGTCCTGCAGATATAGTATGCATTTGAGTAAAATTTTATCAATAAATTCGTTTGGAAGCTAGAGTGATTTCCACAGACGGACGGACATCGCTAAATCGACATAGAATTTTATGCTGATCAAGTATATATATATATATATATATATATATATATATATATATATATATATATATATATATATATATATATATATATATATATATATATATATATATATATATATATATATATATATATATATATATACATATATATATATATATACTTTGTGGGGTCTCATATGTATATTTCGAGGTGTTACAAACGGAATTACAAACTTAATATATCCTCCATACTATGTATATAAAAAAAGGTATGAAAAGCCAGAAGTTCGCCTTTTGTGTATTTTGGATTTCGATATGCGATCATCTCCAAGAGCAATAGGCTTCTACTCTGGCCCTAGCCCCACCTCCATTATACATTTCGTGAAGATGGGGCCATAATTGCGACCTGTAGAGTGATTAAAAATTAACATGGATAGACGGATGGACGGATATACATAGCTAGATCAACTCAGCTCGGAGAGATAGGAAGATCCATATACATTTTCCTATGTGGGAAACTAATATTTCGAGGTGTTACATAATTTTTGGCCCAATCAAACTTATAATACCCCCAACACATAGTGTTGTAGGGTATAAAAATGGGAAGAAAACGAGGACAAACCATTGTTGAAGGGAGAAATTTAGTAATTAAACATTACAAAAAAATAAATTACTTAGTGAGATTTTCTGAGATTGTTATTAAAAGCCGATCTACAGTTCTGTACATCATAAAACAGATGGATGTGTAGAAAATAAGTCAAAAACCGCAAATAATAAAATATTTAACTTGAGGAGTATACTTTACGGCAGATCAAAAAGGATCCCTTTTTGAGTGCGCCGAAGCTCGCAAAATTTGCTGAAAAGCATTTGGGAAAAGTATGTTGTCCTCAAACAATAATAAGTCAAATTACAATGGAAGAAGAGCTAGAGCATAAACCTCTAATCGGCAAGTGAAACCAAGAAGTAAGATTGCAATTTGAAAAGGGACACATATCAAAAGATTTTTCCATTTTGGAAGAATGTGCTGTTCACGGACGAGAGCAAATTCAACCTTTTCGGTTCAGATGGTAGACCTTATGTAGGGAGAAAGGTAAATGAAGCGCTGCTTGCCAAAAATATGAAGTCTATAGTGAAGCACGGTGGTGGGTTAATAATGGTGTGGGATTCATTTTCAGCCTCTGGACCTGATGTATTGCATTTTATTGAGGGTATTATGGATCAGACTATGTACCTTAACATTTTCAAAGAAAGTCTGCCACTCTGTAAGGAAAAGCTCGGCCTTGGCGAAGATTATTATTTTTTATCAAGACAATGATCCGAAACACTAAAAAACTGCAACAAGGTCAAAGACCATAATTTTTACATTTTTA